AGAAAAACAAAATCAAAGACAAATCCACACTAACAGACCTGCAGAACAAACACAGTGAAACAGTTTTCCTTAACTACAGAGAAATGGATAAAGAAAAACGACCCCAGCCATATCCTTTTGACTGTACTTGTGTTCAAGTTATAGGAAAATCAAGGTAACCTACAGAAAACAATGCAAAGACAGATTATTTTTTTTTTTAACCCGAGATGAAAAAAGTAACGTGTGAACTATCTGGTTATGAACTGTGAGCAGTGTGAAGAGGATAATTTGAATTGTATTTATGGATCATCTAACTCAAGAGCAAATTGAAGAGGGTAAGAGAGGGTCTTCCAGGGAAAGGATCACCAAAGCTGAAGCAATAACAGAGATAAGGGCTCTTTAAATGAATCACTGAAGATGATTCATGAGGAAAAAAAAGCACAAAAATAAGAAGAACAGAGATGACAGCCAAAAGGCTACCATGAAGCCAGACTTTAGGCTGTACTCAAATCTGTGAGAGGCAGCCAACATATAAAAAAAAAAACCAAACAAACCATACCAGAACAAAACAGAACAAAAAGATACAATGCAACGACTCCTTTGTATAAAGAAGCCAGACAAGCAAGAGAAACACACCTGTAAAAAGGTCTGTGATGGAGCTGAATCGAAATTCTGAAAGAAGAGAGTTCTAAAGTGATACATTTCATGGGATCAGAGATAAAAATGAAAAGGATGCAGAAGCTAGAAACAGAAGCAAAATTAAAGGAAAAAGGTAATGACAAGCAAGTGTGACACATAATTGTACTATGACTGGTTTATCATAAAAACAATTACTTTCTGCAAATAAAATACGGTTACAACGAAAAGTATCATAAAGATATTGAACACATTATGAAATCATATGAGGAGGTAAATCAGTGCTCAGGAACTACATGATCGCTGTCAGCCAGTCTAAGCAATAATACTACTTCTGTACAGCCTTCATAGCAACCGCAGGTTTTACCGATACACAATAAATGATTAAATTAGTAATTTAAGCAGTGTTCGGCCCGCTCGTGACACCACACGCAACAGAATCAAAGCACAGCGGCCGGGAGCGGGTAATCTCTCTACGATGCTTTTACAGCGTAAAAGATTCAGAACACGACCCGTCTGAGGCGACGGGGAAACCCGCCGTCAGGCCCGCGGGCCGGTGCTCTACCTCAGGAGGCCGGCTGAGGTGCTCCGAGGCGCCGGTGGGTGACCCAAGCCCGGTCCGGTCCGTCACAGGGCAAGTGGCCGGCAGATGCACGGAGGGGCTGCCTCCCGTAAGTGGGACACAGACCAGGAGCCGCGGCTGAGAGTCCGGCTGCATAGGCCCGTCGGAAGCCCGGCAGCCCCGCCACACAGCCGCCGCGCAGCCCCACCAAGTCTCGCTCTCAGTCGCGCAGCCACCGCCCGCCACTCACCCGCGCAGCACCGCTGCCAAGCCACCGCCTCCCGCCGCCACCAGCCGCTGCGCCCAGGCCCGGCAACCGCCGCTGCCTACAGCTCTCGCGAGAGCAGCCCAGCGCGCCCCAGAGGAGGTGACGGCTGCACCGAGATCTCACGAGACTTGAGGAGCAGGGGCGGGGCGTGGCGCTACGCGACGCCGTTGCTAAGGGCGGGCCGGCGCCGTGAGGTGGTCGGCGCTATGGCGGGGCCGGGGAGTGCCGAGCCGAGCCGAGCCGAGCCGAGCCGAGCCGAGCCGAGCCGAGCCCAGCCCAGCCCAGCCCAGCCCAGCCCAGCCGAGCGGAGCCCAGCCCCGCCGGGGCTGCCTGAAGGCCGCTGTCGTGCCGGGTGGGTGGGACATCGCCATTCCCCCGCGTGCTGGGGGGGTCAAACAGGCGGAGGGTGGAGGCTGCCGGTTTGAGAGGCTGAGAGGCTGTGCTGAAGAGCGAGCGCCGTCCGTCGGCGGGAAGAGTGGCTCCCGCCTGCTGCCGCGGAAAGGTGCTGGGAAAAATGAGGCAGGTGAGCCACAGTGAAGCTGCACTGAGGGGATGGCAACCTGGCAGTTGCCTTTCCGCTGGAGCTCTGTCAAGGTTTACACACGGGAGCTGTGAGGAACAGCCGTTTGCGGTTTTACATAGTCCCATGGTAAGCCATCTACCCCGGCCCGGCACAGAAGAAAAACCCAAAGACAGATGTAATGCAGTTTAGCTAGACAAGCTGAGATCCCCGTCATCTCAATCTTCATCCTAAAACTGATTCCTGATTTAAATTACAACTATAAGTTTTAGCTTCATACAGCCCTATAGGTTATATAAAGTCTATATAATCTGCAGTCTGTTTAGAAATATAATTAGTGGATGTGGCTTTCATTCTGTAGTGCCCTAGCAGAATTGTCATGTCCCACAATGTAGGCAGCTTTGGTGTACTGAAGTGTCACAATTGTTGAGATGACACTAGGCCCATTCCACTCCTTGTGGGGGAGAATTAACTGATAGCAAGCCCAGGCTGTATTCAGATCTAAAGACAACCTTTGTCTCTTTTTTGAGATATTCTCTATTAGCACCAGATTGGGATTGACTTCCATATCAGGTGAAAAGACTCCAGAACTCTAGACGATAAGTATATTGAAGCAAATTTGAATTAGTGGAAAGTTTGTGAGGAGGAAAAGGAGCAAATCTTTGCCCAAACTTTAGAATCTTTATCTGTTATTTTTTGTGCACTGTGGGAAGCCAGTCTAGTTGCACACTGGATATTTTGGGGGAGCCCCACTGTGAAGATCAGCCACCATGTATGGGCTCTTCTCAGAGTCTCATAAAATGCTATTTTAAGCCACTGTTGGACCAGACCTCCCAGGGAAAACATGCAGGTAAGAGGGAACAAGGATCTGTATCCTACTGATGAGTATATTCACCTTGACTAGGGCTTTAACCTCTTGTTGAGGAAGTTAACAAATTTGCTGTCAGATTCCAGAAACCAGAACTGTATAGCCAATGCTTCTTGTGCTTCTATGTATCTTACAGAGCATTTCTGTCTTTCAGAGACACCTAATTATTAATCTAAAGATTCAGTGAGTGTATACCTCTGGACGTCCCTGGGGCATTAGCAGATCTGACTGCTTCAGGCAGGGAATATTAGATAGATAATTTATGCACCTTAAGCACATTGGGGAGAGGAGGGAAAGAAGGGGGCAAGAAAGCAGGGATTTGAGTCTTCACTATACCAAAATGCACCACAAAAGACAGAAGCTTTGCAATGTAGAGCAAAACAGGAATCTGATAAATTAATTCTCTTTTCCATCCTTTACCTATAGTCACAGACATAAACCACACAGTTCCAGAAGTCCACCAGTAGAACAATGACAGCCATGCAGCCCGAACAAAAGCTGTTAGCATGCACTAACTAGGCAGGGAGTCAGATGTTACATGCCACTTAACAGGGATCTGAGCAATATTAAACAGCAGTATATACACAGACAAAGTTAGAAGCAGCTAAGAAAGCCAAACCACTTGCAGTTAAATCAGCAGCAGTAGGTTTTACTTACAGATCATACAGTTTATCTAGCTTTTATTGCAGTTCTTCTGACTTTGGCTTTGCTAACTTTTAATGGGGTTGGTGTTTTTTTCACATGCTACTATTTTATTTCCCCTTAGAATGGGTATTGATGTTGGTGCTTCCTGTTTCAATGAGTCATGACTGAGAGACACGATTATATTTCTTTTCACTGAGAATTTTATAAAATGTGAGTGTGTACAATACATATTCATCTGCACAGGGTAGGTCTTCAAGGACACAGGTCTTAGCAAAAAGCCCTTGCCAGGTCTTAAAGTAAGGTTTTCTGCCTTGAAAGAAAATCTGTGCATAGAAACCACATTCTAAAGGAAGGAAAGAGGCCTTTTAGAGATGCTTCATCTTTGGAAGGCTGACTGACCCTGGGGATGTGAAGGGGTGTGGACCTAATACTTTTCTAACCTCATCTCTCTAACAGGGGACATAACAAGTCTTCTTTGGCAGTCACATGCATGTCTGCTGTGAAGTGCAGACTCACTTAGTATTTGCATTATTTACATGCAAGTACACAACCTGACATAGACTTAAGGCTCCTACCAATGCAAGTGTGGGGAAAGAACTTGAGCATACCCCAAAGTCATACCACTCCAGTGATGTTGGCTGGAGGTGAGATTTTGGCTCACCCTAGCTAGAAGCTATTTATTCAGCCATGTGCAGGCTCAATTCTTGCCCTCTCTTTCCTTGTTCTTTTACAAAGATAGGTAAGCAAAGCCATTTATCTATTTATTTAGTCTGTTCTGTTTATTCATCAGATCTTTATCATGCCTTTTTATTTATTGCTTTTCTGACTGCTGCTGTTACATATGTGAACATATGTTGAAACGTATGTGTTTCAGTGGCCCTATTATTTCTTACCATCCTCTTTATAGTCCCCTTAATCTGTGGAAGAGAGATGACCAAAATTTCATGTGTTACTCCAGGGGAAGATAAATCTTTGCAATAGTTCATAATATTAAAATATTTTTGCTAACATCCTCTGCCCCACTCTGATAATTTTGCTGTTTTGACTGCTGCTACACTGATCAGAGGTTTAAGCTGAAAAACTGTAACGAATCTGTTTTTTTAGATTATTACAACTTGTAAGTAATTACATTCAAATTATATTTTTCTTTCTAATGGGCATTACCTAGCACTAATTCATCTGCCACTGTGCTGTCTTTAGTCCTTCTGAAGAATCATACTGTATATGGACAAAGCAAATATGGTTTTATCCATAAATAAGGCAGTGCTGAGCACAGGTTGTCTTTGGCCATATTTCCAGCTAAGCTATAGTGAGTGGTGTATCCTGTCTCTGACCCTGAAGCCCTTCATAAGCAACAAGTACTTTTTTTGAAGTGTACAGAAAGTTTAAATATTCGTGTATGCATCTTTCATCTACTTGATAGCTGAAGATTAGGAAGAACAGGTTGTTTAGATAATAGAATTTTTTTTTAGATAAAAATGTAAGGGTTTATTAATTTGGTGCTTGAAGGTTGTACAGTTTCTGCACATGTGTCAGTATTGTAAGGAACAGAAATACACTTGTGCTAGGTAAACCCCTTCTCTATAATCTTTGTTATTTTTGTGTGCAGGAAAGACCAAAGGAAAAGTAAAAATTGCTTTTATCATTATTTTTGTATTTATATTGCTCTAATAAAGTAAGATGGCTTAATAACCTTGCTCCAAATGCTAAATTATATCAGAATAGTTACACATCAGTCAGTTATTATGCTTTAAAATAATGTCCAAGAGCTTTTGGTCCACTTTATTTGGTAATACATAAGTGAGACATAAGTACAAAAATGCAATTTCATTTAAGTTAGCACAGATGTCTGATGAAAGAATAAATAGAAAGTGCACTTCAAGGCCTTGATTCTACAAAGAGACAAGTAGCATGGAACCTTTGCCTGTGTGTGAGAGGGCACTGATGTGCACAGATGTACCATCTGCTTGCAGCATCAGAGCCTCTACACTACTAAAAGTATAGCCAAGATTATGAACTACACATTGCTAGTTACAAGTACCTTTCTAGCTTCCAGAAAATTGCATTTATATTTGTAATAATTTATGATTTTTTACTAGGTTTCCCAAGGTGTGCTAGACATCAAACAAAGAAATACAAAATGGTACCGGAACATCCATGCAAACTGTTTGGCTTAGAGCAGCAATTCGTCTAGATTTGAGCTCTGGCAATGGCAAATTTGGAGGTAACCACCATCATCCCTACTGAGAAAACATTCTTGTTAGTCAGAAATGATTGAAGGTCCTAAGAAGATGTGCATATACCATTTGAAATATTTTTTTATTTGCTACTTTTAAAAATTATTATCATAATTGAATTTTTTCCACCCCTATTTATGCTGTTTATGTCTGATTCTGTTATAGTCCTACCAGCTAATGGTTCTTCTCCCAAGCTGATTCCTGGTTCTCATTTTTGGGGACTTGGCAAACTGAATTCCTAATTCTAAAAAAATAGCATATAAAAATGCATTTTATTTATGAGAGCCACTGGTCTCACAAAAAAGAAATATTTACACAGGAGGCCGAGTACAACATACAGAAATTCAGATATAGTTTACAGTGAAAATGAGGGACAAAAAATACATATTGCAAGACTTTTGTTTCAATTGTAATTGTCTGATATACAATAATTTGCCAGTTTTATAGTTAGGGGCCATGCTTAACCACATGCTAATTTCTCTGCTCCCACTGTTTCTGCTATTAATTATAGGTTATCATCTTTTGGAAGAGGGGGAGGCAATGAAACCTTCCCTTCATTTCAGTATTTTGCAAAATTCCATCCTCCTATTTCATACAGATTTTGTTTTAATTTTATCCCACTGTAATTTCATCTCAAACTTCACCTTCCTACTTTATGTTTGCATTCTTTAATCCTAAATGCTTAACATTCAGCTTTTGCTATGTAATTAAAGTTAATCTGATTTTAGGCCGTCTTCGAAAAATAATTGTGGATTTAAGTTTACATATTTTCATTAGTGCAAAGTTAAGCAAAATTTAACCTTTGGCAAAATAGCGCCCTATTCTGTAGACAGGTTCTACTGCATTTATTCAGCGTTAGTTAACAGTAGGAGTAGGCCTAGTGATTACATACAAATACCGTCCATGTAAAAGCAGTAGAACTGGTCTTAAATGTCTGCAACTTTCCTGCTGTTTTGGATTTCTTTTTCTTTTTTATACCAGAAATTTCTAAGATACATTAGCCATATAAAAGATACCCAGAATTTGCAAACACATTTTACTATTTGGTTGTGAAATGTCTAGGTCAACAGGGCTACAACCTTGAATGGTGCCTTTAATCCTTATTGCAGTCTGAATAAATAATAATAAAATGCCCTACTTGATCAATCGTATAGAGACATGTGCTTACTTGGACAGATATAACGCTCTGACTTTTTCCATTATGGCTTTGTTTTAAAGAGTACATCCATGTAAGTTTTGTCCACATCGATGGATTTCTTCTGCATTGCTGCCCGCAAATGCTCAGGAAGCAGCCTTCGACTTCTTATCTCACCCAGCACAATCTCATCCTTGTTTCGAGGTCTCTGGGTCCTAGCATCTTCAAGGGCACTGTGCACATCCTGCAGTTTCATCTGAAGCCAGTCCTGTCTCTCTATGGTGTGTCTATGCTCTCCAAGATTATGCATTAGTTGCATCTCACTCACTGATCTTTTCCTGCATGAAAGGAAAGCAAAGAAAGAGACTCATAGTGGCCCTTCTTGAATTCTAGATCTCAAAACCTGCTATTTGAGAACCTTTTTTGCGATACCACAATACAGAGCCATAAGACTTACCTTTCCTATTCATAAGAGGTAGAATCGCATCTGGAGAAGAGGAGTGTCGCTGGAGGCTTATTATTGGTAATGGATATATTAGTGAGAAGACATAAAAAATGGGAAATAGTGCACTTTTGTGATGAAATTGTTTGACCATGATTTATTTTAGCTATTGTAGATATGCTTAGGACACATACAATAGTAAGACACTGATTAATAAAACTGCAGTGTTTATTCAGGGGTAATTTTCTGTGAACACTAGAGCTAAGGAAGCATGACTTCCTGTGGATTTGTACCTCAGTGCTGACTGATGTTAATGTCTAAGTGTGAGTTCCAGCTAGATTCTCACACAGTAAAAAAATGCTATCCTGTGCAGACCCCGTAAGTGCCTTATGAGATGAACCTTACCCAGTGATATTCCTAGGAGATCACGTACATGATTTTTCTCCCTCTACTCAGCTGCCTGTTTTCACAAACTGTTTAAGAGCTCAGAGTATCTGAGAGCTCTACAGCTGTATCTAAGATGACAGAATTTGGCCAGCTTGGCCAACAGGCTCAAAAGCAGAGACAGAAAGACTCACATACATATAAACTTACATGCGGACAAAGTAATGAGATTCTCAAGACACCTTAAGTCATCCTCCAAACTTTGGAAGTGTAAAATAATGTACTTACATCATTGGTCTTCCATCAGAGTTTGTAAAAAAGCATATGGCATATAAAATGATTGCAATCCTGGCCAGATTTTTTATAGAGGTCATTTTCTCTACAAAGACAGAAATGAATACATGTATGAATCTGTATTTTAAGCGATTTCTGTTTGTTCCAAATAAATTTAGTTTAGAAAAAAACTGAAGGCAGGCATCAAAGGAGGGATTTTGAAAAATAGACTTTTTTGTGAACGGAGTTAAAGAAAGGCATGCAAACAAAGACTCTGTTTCTAATACTAATTTTGAAAGCAACTTCATAGGCAAGTCTAAGAACTTTGGTCTTTGGTTTAGTTGCCCTGCCTCATCATCATCATCATCATCATCATCACCATCTAGGTACCCATCCACTGAATAATTTGGTGAAAAGCAACATGCCCTTCCATTATTATTGTTGCTGCTGTTGTTATTATTATTAAATTCATACTTCATATACTCCAAGTATGTTGAAATACTTGTATATTAGCTATGCAAGTTAGAAGTTTTGTTCTTTTATCTATTTCCATTGCATATTCTTTAGAATGAAGAGGCTGACAATTTTCTTGACAATTTAGCATGAAGGCATAACTCTACTGAGTTATGTCATTCCCCGTTTAATTCCATAAGAGAAATCAGAATTGAGCAGCTCAGTTTTTTCAGTGATAATCCTGCACTGCCAGTATGAATTCCACTCTGCTTTGTACATCAGCAGCAAAACTGCCACTTGGGATATATTTGAGAAATATTTATTAATGCTGATGCTACAACAGGCAGAAATGACACAGTCCAAATATCAGTTTCTAGACTGGATTTTCAGTATGGGCAGCCAGAATAAGCATTTTTTTTTTTGTTATAGCTTAGAAATTTGATACATTTTCGCAGTATTTTCTGCAGCTTTACTCTGGGTCAGAAAAGCATTTATTGAACGGTATCTTACATGACAGCCTGAATGTGGTCCCAGCAGTCAGGATCTGGATTTTCTTCAAGATGTTTCTAACTCATTGCCACAATTTTTTTTTCATTTCACAAACTTGGTTCAGATAATAAAACAATTTGATTGTACTACTTTATTTTTAAGATAGGCTGAACAGAAGGTAATGTAAAAATTAACAAAGAATCAATGATAACATTTTCTAAGTCTTCTAGAGAACTTGGAAATAAAATAGAGTATACTTACCAGATAGTATCTTACACAGATTTCTGGTTTGGGTATGTCAGCAGATGACTGTCTCTTGATGTCAAGTATATTTAAAGACTACTGAATTGGTTCAGTGAACCCCTTAAATGTAACTCTAAAATAGAGCTTCTAAGTAACTTAGAAGCCCTTTTATTGTCTCAGTTGATGTCACTCTCAACACACACCCTCCTGACCCTCATGTACCCACCCTCAGATGCTTTTGTTAATTTGGCATTTACAGGGAAAAGAAAGATCTCAGCAAAAAGAAAGTATCCTGGGTACCTGTGAAGAAGTTTGACTTTTAAATTCAGATTCCCTATTCCTCATAGTTTTGTACTGAAGAGAAAACGATCTCTGAAGCTGTTGAAATGATTTGCAAAGAAAACTTTATGTTGCTAAATGAAGGCAGGTAAAATTTACATTGGGCAGTGAGGTTAGTGATCTACAAATGCAAGATTATAACAAAATATCGAAAAGCTAACATCTCTAATACTTGTTCAGCTCAGATACTAGGTTTCTTTGTGAAAGAATATACTGGAGAGGAGCAGAGGCCCTGGGATGATAGTAGATCATGTCTTTAATGAGATGCTGGTGGTACAAAAAAGTTATTAAAATACACTCTTCTGTTACACCTATACTTAAGTATATCCCACCATCTCTCAAATGTGCCTCCTAAAATGGAAGCATTCAAACAGGCTGTGATGTAAATTAGTACTTTATAAATTTTGGAAAAGAAATACATAACTCTTTGCCTACATTCTAAGAAGGGAAATGTGTAATTCAGCAATACTTTCCCGTATGTTTGAAGAAAGATTACTTTTGGCTGCAAGATATTTTTCCTACATTAGGTGCTTCTGCTGAGTTCCAGCATATTTCTTGAGGAAAATAAAAATTGAAATAAAGTTTACATCTGCATATTTTAACACACCATTTGGAAGCTATTACTGCTTTTACCATTAATGCTTTTTTGGTTACACTATATATCTGTTGTATTTCACTAAGACGTAAAAAAGATATTTTACAATATTGATTTATATAGATGGTATTCCCAAGGGGAAAGGAAGGGAAGAAACAGAAACTCCATAAAACTCTAAAGGTTCCCTCAGTAAGCAGTAAACTGAGAAACTGAGAAGTACAGAAAAAATCCACTTAAACAAGTTCAAGAAAACAAGGTAGAGAGTCTCCCAACATTATATTCTCAGTCCTCAATATCCTAACACCTACACAAAAAGAAAGAGTAAACAAAGGTTTATGGGGACAGTATGTTTTGTATTTGGTGTGGCCACCAGGGATACTAACTTGAAGGCTTTAGTGACTAAAAACGTGCAATGAACATGGCAAGCCAGGAAAGGATTTGAAAAATGTCTACACAGTTGATTATGAAAAGCTGCATTTTTTAGATTTTACCATAACAAACATCTGTAAAACCTTTAAACATGGCAGTATTTTTACAGGGGCCTGGCATTCCTATGGAACCTCTACCAAAGCCTTAACTAAAGGACAAACATGAAAAAAATCTAGTGTCTGTATACAAAAAAAATCATGCTTTCATATAAACTGGCAGCAACTGATAGCAGAAATCAGCAATAAGCCATTAGTAAGAACTGCAAAATGAGTGTTTGCAGACTTGAGTTGCTGACATTATTATTCTAGTTGCAGTTGTATTCCTTACAAAAGACATGTAAATATGGAAGAGACCCCAGCTTGGAGCTTTGTATAAAACTGAGACAGAGAAAATACCAGAAAACACTTAAGTCACTTCAGACAATTTACAGTATATTAGTGCAGGTGTCCTTAAACAAGATGTAGTTTTAGCCGGCTTCTTTGCAGCACACCTAGTCTTTGAAACAACTCTGAAATAGGATTTTTTATTCAAAGGTATTAAATATGTTGTACCTGCAATCTCAAAGATATCTGAACTTAATACTTCAAAAATATTTCCATGTGAAAAATGCACAAGACAACTTAGAATTGCACTGTTCGTCTCAGATAAGTGAAGATACAAAAAATAACAAAAATACGGAATATGTACCCCACTATTTGTGAATAAATAGAACCCACGGTTGTAATTAAAGAAACTTTAAATTACATCTCAAAATGGGCATAGCTTTTCCTGTATATGCAGAAAAAATAACTTACTTGGTTTGGATTATTATCCCTGATATACAGAAATTATGTTATTTTATAATATTGCTGCTAATAACTTACCCCATGTCATCTGTATTTGCTAAACTTGGCATATCAAATGTGGGAATGACAGATAATGGACCAAATGAGTGCAGCTTTTTTTACATAATACTGGGAATTGTGAACATTTTTGTTCGGACACAGTGCTTCCACCATGAAATGATGAGTTGAAAATGGATTTGAGCTCTTCTGATGTTTCAGAAAGATGAAGATTCATGTTCAGATTCAAATTTTTCTCTTTTAAGCATCCCTTAAAAAAAATCAGATCACTTTTGAGCACTACTTAATGGAAGAGCTGACTGAACCCAGGAAGCCAGGGCTAACACGTGCTGAAATGCTGTTCATTAGGAGTCTTAAGACTCCCTGCATTTACGGAGACTGTGGTGAAAAAAAGGTATATAAACTTTCATGACAGAAAAAAAAAAATTTAAAATTATCTCCTCAATGAAAAGGCATTTCATGATCCTTTGTAGATCTAAGACTGTGTATATAAAGAAAATGGCAAAAATGGCGACACCCCCCCCCCCCCCCAAGTTTTTCTCAGGAATTTCTAGTGCCTACAAATGAGGAATGACCTAAATTAAATGATTTTTTACTTCTCTTAGAATAAAAGGAGGGAAAACACAGTGGATCCTGAGTTTTCATATTCTGAAAATAGCAGGCTGTGAATGAGCCAATGCAGAAAAACAAAACTGGGTACAACTGAACAGAGCAGTCAACAAACTATAAAACATTAAATGTTTTGGGTATCTATGAGAGAAAGGCAACTGATTCAAAAACTGATTGCAAACTATTGGTGTATATGTTGCATTATCGATACTGAAATTTCTTTTCCTTTGGAAGAGGAAGAAGTGAGAGCAGGTAACTTTTAATGAGACTTAGGCTGAAATACAATAATGCTTAGTAGATTGTAGTTCAAATTTGTGATTATTTCTTCAGCAAACTGTCTCAGGTTAGACCTAAGCTTGAACTGAATGTTCTCTTTACCATCATCTAAAACCATAGAATGTTATACTGGAAATGAGACAATATAGCAATATAGAATCATAGAATCAACTAGGTTGGAAAAGACCTACAAGATCATCAAGTCCAACCTCTACCTCAGCAGTGCCAGGGCAACTAAACCATGTCACTAAGGGCCTCATCTACATGTTTTTTGAACACTTCCAGGGATGGTGATTAACAAGAATAAGATTTCCATTTCACCCTTGGAAATGGAAATAATCTGTAGTCAAAATGGTGCCCTTAATTTTCAATTTCTTGTTTGATTTAACTCTGCTTTAACACTGTTGTTTTAATGTAACACAATGAGGTGTAATAAAATTTAAATAATATGGAATGTGGTAAATATTTTATAGGTGTTTAATACTACAGAGTTCATTACAGTGATGGCTTCTCTGTGCCACGAGGCATTATAGACATGAAACAAGGGCATGGCACTTCTGAAGGTGAGGGAGAGAGCTGAAGAACTGGAGATGCTGGAATCACAGTGTGGGAAGGAAGAGCTGACCATAGCCTTTTCCTCTGACAAGGCTTTTTCTTGATCAGTCAGAAAACTACCCTTCTCTGACCTTCCCTTATAGATTGTACAGATACTTGAATCAACTGTGCATGAAAAAAATCTGTGTTGCTTTGTTTGCAGGTGGTGTGCCACTTACGTTGAATTTGTTCCATTGAATGTAATCAGACTCCAGGGTTGAAAACAAGAGGAAAGCAATTAGACAGACTTTACAGCCAGGTAGGTGAACAATGGCCAAATTCTAAAAATTCTGAATTCTTTATAATCTACTTCATATATTCTATTCATTTTGTCAGGAAAAAAGTATTATATTGCATCTTGAAATTGAACACATACTAAGGTGTACTGCTGGAATATGGATAGAAGACACAGCTTTCTACAATTATATTCTTAAGGCACTAAAGCATATTTTCACAAATCAATTACGTAATCTGGTGTATTAATATTCCTACAGAATCCTTCATGCTCTAGATTTAAGGCTTAAATACTGCAGTGAAATTACTTCTGTACTGTTTACAAAAGCTTTTTCCACTTTGCTTGTTCCAGTGCATAATTCCAGATAAAAAGCTTTCTAACTGCAAGTGTGGCTAAGCGAGTATTAGTAGATCATTGAGCAAGGGAACAAAGTAATGGGTGACACACAGGATGATTGGTGAGGCAACCTTTCTAAATGTGTCCATGGAATGTTTCTGCCTTGACACAATGAAGAACCAAAGTGACAGTCAGTAAACTCTTTAGAACTTCATTTGATTGACAAGATTTGTGGCTTTTCAAATACCACAGCAGCATGTTTGGTCATTTATTTAAACAATATTGGGTATCTTCAGGTGGTTTTTGGGTTCTTGCAGCTAGATGAAGCTTTGACCACATGCTAGTTTCCAATTAGATAAAAACCAACACAGAGACTTATATGAAAATCAAAAGATGAGCTATCACAGTCTTTGTTTGTGTCCAATCTGCTTCATACAATGTGTTTTTAGCAGCTATTGGCAAACACGAATTTGCAAATAATTGCTTGCCAGTGTGTTTTTTTCTAGCTACAGAAAATCTTTCATCTGAGTATCACAATGTTCCTGAATTTGCCTGATTTCTTTCTGAAGGAAGTATATATTGATGATATTTCTAAGTTATGGACATTTAGGCAAAGACATCACCGAGAAAAAGATCAGAGAGAAAACAGAAAACGGGCTGGTAGATTTCTAGTCCCAGTCACCTGACTTTAGGTACACTTGCTTACCTAGGGGGATAAACTGGACACTGTAATGGTAACTGTGATCCAGATTATTTCTAGACTTTTCACTGATTAAATGAAGCACATACAATATCTGAGTGGACGCCCCTGTTAGCTCTCAATGTAACCTAGCCATGTTATCTCACAGAGCTATCCAGTTTATTACAGAATTTCTCCTTTGACCTATCATGGACATGCCAGGCTTTGATGATATGATCATGAATGTATGTGTGTTTGCTGCCTGCATGCCACCCTGTACCATGGCTGCATAGAATTTCACATAACATTACATGGCTGTTTTGAAGCCTAAATGGAGAGCCCTGCTTACCTCATCTCTCTGTCATGACAAGAATCTGAAGCTTGATGAAACAGCCCAGAGTAGCCTGGAGGAATGCTAAAATGTCTGTTAAGGAAAGTCATGAAGATGAGGTACCTCTTAGCCTGTACAGAGACATATTTCAATGGTCAGTAGCAAAAATGTTATTGTGCATCATGAACAATAATTAAAGCTGTGATTAGCACATACATATCAGCACATTTTTAAAGTGCTGTTAGTGAAATGTAAACTAAATATGAAAGTATTTGTAGAATTGTGTGTGAAAGTATAGGTTTTACTTGGGATTTAAAAGTTTTAAATTATTTTACAGCAAATAATTAGTGGGATATTAGCCTTCATGACACTGAAATGCTATGCTGTTACTGCTTTGCTGAATTCATTGCTATAATGAACAGTATAGTACTATATGACCTTTTTCAGTACATAGGAAACTAGTGCAGTACTCAAAACTACTGTCGGATTATCAGATTTTGGGGATCAATACCAAATGGAATTATGCATATGCATACACACATATATATAGTCTTAAATAGGCCAGGGTTTTCATTGGCCTATACTAGCTCCAAATATTTTGTGCAGGCTTGAGTTCCCTTTTAGTGACATACAGTGTAGTTGGAGCTCTAATGAGGGCTCATGTTCTTTTCTGTCACCCTTGAAACCAACATAGCATCCTTGACAAGCCATACAAGGAAACCAGCTTTGAGAGCACGAGTAATCCCAGAGAGAAATGCAACACTGAAACAGGGCTGAGTCTAAAATTCACTGACTATCTTCCCCAGTCTGAAGGACCTCACTCAAGACTTCAGGATTCAGGAAACCTCTCTTCTGCATTGCACACACAGCCAAATACATGCACATCCTATCAAATCATCATTTTAAAATCTATTAAGACATCTACTAATAATGGTTTGAGTAATTAAATACTGCTGTCAACTTGATCCTAAAAGTGGGAGGTAGGGAGCAGCAGATATCTGCAAGTGTCAGGTTTGACCTAAAACCATGATAAAAATGAATGTGCTAGCTCTGCATAAAATAAAATTAAAAAAAAAGATGACTTGGGATGATACAGGATGGAACAATGAAGGTCTGCATGTTTTATGCAGGTAGCCACGTATTTTTCTATCCTTTTTACTGAAAAGACATTTCAAGCTCATATTCCCATACTTTTTGCAGTCACTGCAGATGAGCAGATAGCATCCAAGTAAGCATTCTGGACCTTGACAAAATCTCATGGGAATGAAGTGTACACTTTATAAATGAATGATGATACTTCATGCCTTTCCTTCGATCCAGTCAATGTCCTGAAAAATATTATAGTCCATAGTCAGCTGAAAAACTTGGAAATATAGAGAACTTGCAAAAATCAATGTTTTGTTTGGCGTTTGAAAGAAAATATTGTGCTAGGTGCTATGCAAGCACACAAGAAGATGCAGACCCTTTAATAATGGTGTTATTAAGATAAAAAAAGTGTTGTGTTTTATACAAAGCTTTTCATTATTTCAGATATTAATTACAGCAAATAAAATATTCTAAGTTATATATTAAAGACTGTCCCAGAAATAAAATCCTTTAAATAAAAACTTCTATGTAGAAGACTTACTGAAGATTAATTCTGGAGTTAAATATTTTGGCCTGAAGCTTCTTCAAGATATTATCTTAATGTGTTTGTACACATATTTATAGTATTTTCTAAAAGGTTAATACTTTTTCTGTATTTTCCCTTCTTTATTTAATCGATCCTCTTCACAAAATTATTAGCTGGATTACTAATAGTTGTTAAAATCCAGTTCTTGAATTAACAGTTTTCTCTTACAGAACTCAAAGGACATTTTGTATTTGCATTATATGTATATTTTAAATCCTTCTATGTATTCAAAACTCATTTTTCTTCTTAGACCTTCCTGAAATATCAGCACTAACATGAAATTCTTGTAATAATTCTGAGAATCTAGTTCACCAAAAAGTCTAGCGCATTTGGAGCATCCATCACTTCATCTTCTGCTTTTTACTTTTTTCTTTTTTCTTGTTGGATTTCACACTGTGGTCTATGAGAAAATGCACTTTACATTGAGATGTATGGGTCTCAGTGCTTAACAGTTACTTGTTTTGGTCTCTTTGTTTCAGGCTCTGTGTTGAGCCAGTGAGACTCAAAAGAATTAAGAATTGGAGTTTGGCTCTACAGATCATCACCCTGGCCTCTTCTATAAGTGAGAGCATTATTATTATTAACTGTAGTGGTAGTTCAGTGCATTAGATAGATTCTACTAGTCAGTACGTCTCCTCTAGATCTTCTATGCTGATGTGTATTTCTTCTCTCTCACAAAGCTAAACAGACTATCTTGATTTAAATTTTTTCTAGTTAAGCTACTTAGTTCACTGCTTAGCAACTGCGGAAATCTATTGCTAAGGCTGTGTCTCTTCTTCCATTTGGAATTCAGACTCTTCATCTTAATTTCCTAGGCTTTTTGTAAAAGGCCTATATCCCCACTTCGGTGCATTGTATATTGCCATTTTAATCTCTACAGTTTGGGCTAGGATAGAAACAAATAAAGATTTGCTTCGCTTACACTGTATGACTGAGTAGTGAAGGACCTAACCCGGTATTTCTGCCCTTATTTTCTGCTACCCTTTGTTTTACATTGTGATCTCCCTATCTCATAGGATAGACTAGTTAAGGTAAGAATTAACCAATTCTGCCTAATCAAGTCACTTAATTTTCCATGCTTCATAATCCTTACTAAAATGACTATTCCTCTTAGAACCCTGTTCCTAACTACTTTTTCTGTGGTACCCCTATTTTAGGAACAGGATCTTCTCCATTGGCCAGATAACTTTTCTTCTCTTGTCTCTTTTGCATTTTGCTTTACTGCCCATTACCAAAACAACTGGCTGTTTCCCAGTATTTAAGAAAAGATAACAATTACCCTATATAGGCAAACATTTATACATAAAAAGAATCTATAAGAAGCAGCCCAAACCTACAGTATACTGCTACAAATTGTTCCTTCCCCTCCTGTAAGTTGCACAATTCTGCATAACCTCAGGACTGTGATCTCTTTGAGCATGGATTGTATTTTTCCACTAATTCTGATGAACAGTTATCCTGTAGCAGTAACAATGGCTTTGTAGTTTTACAGTGATCCTACAATGCATCTCACAAAAGAGAGGATCATGAAAAGGAATATTCTGAGCCATCATCCCTAGCAGCCTGGTAAAATTAAAGATTGGATAATTAAGGCAATTACTGCATTAGTTTTTCCAGGATCACTGCCCCTTCTCCTCTCTCTGGAGAAACTCCTATAAAAGGAGGCTCTGCATATCTCTGTAATACAAATTACCTGAAAAACAAATGCATGGTCAGAAGCTAGTGGGAAATAAGGCATACTAATGTGCAAACAGTTGCTGAGGCAAGAGTGGCATCCTAACCCCCAAAATTTCTTTGTATCTGAGAGAACTATAAACATTTGTGAGAGTATAAATTTACCAAAGTGCACAGAGGAGATGGTTTGAGCTAACAGTTTGATTTTGTTCTATGCTAGCATCTGTGCTGTAACTATAGGAACAGACTATAAATAGGCCAACCCAGTTACCTTTTTCAGATCTTCGGGGATGGCTAATCCTCAAAATAGATGAATTACATAACTCTGTTCTCTAAACATACTCATTCACTCTGCAAATTGGGTTCTTTGCATGCCTCTGTAAAATTAGTGCATCCCTCTCTAGCTAGTACTCACTGGAGCAGTTGTTCAGTTGACATAGTTGTGCTAACTCAAAGAACAATGCTAGTTGTCAGCATCTGAGGATTTGGACTTTGGCTGCAGATATTTATTAAAGTGCATTTAAAAAGAAAAGCAAATCTGAAATATCAGACTGTAACAATGAATCTCAAATTTAATTCTGCAGGGTCAAAAAGCCACATTTTTGACACACTGGGCTGGATGCACATGTTTGAGTTATATGAAGGGGAGCAAATACTCAAACTGAATCATTCAGATTTGCAAGACTGTTCTTGAACTTCAGGTTACAACAAAAGCTGGAGAAGTGTTTCCTCCTCTGGAGAACAATAGTATTTAAGAAACACCACACAAGAGATAGAAGACCTCATTCTGGAGTTCTGAAGTCTGTCCTTAAAGGAGCAACTATGCACAAAACTGGACCTAGTGTATTTATAAGTGGAAATGCCATTCTTGCATCAACTGTCAACTCTCCAAAACTCTAGGGACTCTTACAGTGATGTTGTGTATTGGAACCATTTGCAAATGGAATAGTCCAAGCAGTCCTTAATACATGCAGGTTTATGTCCGGTTACTGCCTTCTCAAGCTGAGCAATCATTATATCACTGCTACAGTGGCCTAGCAGCCTAGTAACATAAAGACAAGACATTGCTTTGGAATGGGCAGCTCTGAAGACACATGCTCAAATATGACCTCATCACATTAAGGATATACTTAGAGGAATAGTATCCTTCCAGGAAAGAGCACTCTACAGCTGTTACCACTAATGCCTGGACAGGTCTCTTGCTCATGGTAATTCTTATACCATCTTTGAAGAAAGAGTTATTTCATGCATTTTACAGATGAATGAACAGAAATAGGAAATCTCAAAGCTGGAATCTACCTAGAATGCTCACCAAAGGCCAGGAAATACCAAGAAATGTCATCAAAAGGCCCCTGCATCACTGTGCAAGTGAAGATACTTTCCCATAAAAGTGATCCACACAGTAACACTACAGTGGAAGAGACCAAAAGCTGAATGTGTTTGGTATGTGAAGCCCTGCGTTCCAGGCAGCAGTGCAGACCACAGGGCTGGGAGGCTGTCACTGCTCCATTATGTAATGTTCACAAGCTCTTTGCCTCGAGTGATCGAACACCTGCAAGAGGCACATATTTCCCACACAACTAGGGTTGCAATCTCATTTTGTCTTTCCTGTATTTATCTTCACAGAGGAATTACTCAAAATCTGCAGACTTTCTTTTTAAGCCTCTTGGGTGTCACTAGATTTTCACTCTATGTGTGCCTCATGTTTTGGGCTCTCCAGACATACTGTTTGTTTGTTTGTTTGTTTCCCATCAGCCTTCACTATTTTATCCATCTCTGTTGTGGTTCTCTCCTGCGGTTATATTCCTAATTTATAATCAGTCATATGGCACACTATCTACCACATTTATGAAGAAATATGAATACATATCGTTCTGTTTAATTTATAGCTCTGTTCCTTTGAAGCACAAAGTAAAAGCTCTTTGCAAAAATGTGAACACTGAATGGAATGATTGTCATTTTTTGGATTTCTGGGGAGTCTCACACTGACAGCTGTTATTGCTGGTGCCAATCCCACTTCCATGTAATAAAACACTTCTCTGTATTATCTCACTGCCCAAGTATGATAAATACTTTGTTACAGGCATTTACTTACATCCTAGTCCTTCTGTGATGGTGAAACACAGGTGTTAATAAGCCACTCAGCTTCTGGGGCTGTATTGTAAATAGCATTAGACTAACCAGGTGATGATATCACATCCGTATTTTGCATTTCCAAAGCAGTATCTTACATTGTTATTTTTTGAAATACAGATAATGAAAGATAGCAAAGGTCTTTTCAAATTTCTCAGTGTTCAGAAGAGACCACTGTCTATTTAACATTTTTAAAAGAAGAGGCTTTCACCATCTTCTGTGCCACAGAATCATTTAGATTCTCAGAGGTCCTGCAGTTCAACTGCCTGCTCCAAGCAGGAACAATAATGAATTCAGACCCCCTTGCTCAGGTCTTTATCCAGTTGGGTTGTGGAAATCTGCAAAGACAAAGATCTCAGAAGCTCTTTGGGCAACCTAGTGCTTAATTATGTTTAAGGGGAAACTTTTTTTACCTCCATCAAAATCTCAAATATTTCAATTTGTGGCCATTATCTCTCATTCTCACACAACACACCTTGATAAAAAGTTTTTCTCTTGGTAACCTTCTCTGAGATACAGTAAGGCTTTTTTTCCAGGCTGAATAAGCTTTTCTTAACTGGTCTTCATAGGGCAATTGCTCCAAGCCTCTAACTATCATGGTGATCCTCTGCTGGATTTGTTCAACTCGATCATCTTCTCTATACTGCAGGCCCCAAAACTGGATAGACTATTCCATGTGCAGTCTAGTGCATGCTGAGTAATGGGATAATCAGCTCTCTCAGTCTGCTGGCTGTGCTCCTGTTGATAGAGCCCAGTATGCTGTTAGCCTTCACTGCTGCCAGGGCACACTGCTGAATCATGTTTCGCTCAGTCCACAGGGGCCCTGAGGTCCTTTTCAGCCATGTTCTCTTTACCAGTCAGTCCTCCCAGCCTTTACAATTGCAAGGTGTTAGTCCATCCCAGGTGGAGGACTTAGCATTTGTCCCTTCTGAATTTCATGAGGTTTCCATAAGCCCATTCCTCTGTTGTATCAGGCTTTGAAAAAGGCTCTTGGAGTGATCTGATGTATTATACAATAGTAAGCTTTATTTAGGTACATTGGTTTCCTTAATAATTAAAATGAAATCACAAAAAATTGCAAGATTAAGCTAAATAAAGAAGATCCTGCCTCACTTCTCTCAGAATTATTTGACTATGCTAATAAAGTAGTAGGCAAAGCATACAAAATAGACCTTGACTATGACCCGATTCAGTAATATCTGTATTCCTAAGAATATCACATATAAAGAGACATCATCCACTGGAGCATGAGTTCCCCACAAGGATTTTGTTCCTTCAGTTTCCATTTTCATCAGAAAAATAATCAAGATACTGAAAAATAATTTATGTGAAAGGAAAGAATACTTGTGCATTTTCTGTTAATCAATGTGGTTTACCTCATTTAGGACTTTTGTCATGCAATATTTTGACTACAAGTTGGCTTTGGCAAGTTCTGTAGAAAATTATTGCCCCTCAAACAGTTTCAGCAAGAACTGGCAAAACATTCAAATACAAAAGCTTTTGAAAATCCAATGCATTTGCAGCATCTCAACAGTAAGTGTTCCATTACAATTAAAACTACACCATTAGTCATGAATATTTGTAATCAAGGGCAGATCTGCTGAGATGGATGTATTACAAAGGTTATTCTTTGCCGAGCATGCACTTTCCTTGGCCTGTGTTATCATTACATCTGTACAGCTAATTGATTTCTTCAGATATCTTTCTTAAAACCAGAAAAACAAATCAAAAGCACAATATTATGTGCAAGGA